TTGGCCCCGAAATCCACTATAGTCTGACTCGATCTCTGCTTTCCTGTCTCCTGTACAGTCTACCTTGCACTACCTGACCAAAGTTCTGGCCATTTCAGCAAGCCAGAGCTTAAGTCATTTCAGAAATCCCTTCCTCTCTCCCTTCCTGTGTCATGTTGCTATGGATGCTGGCGGCCGTGGGGCAGGTCCACTCTGAATTGGATGGCTGGGTGCTTTCTACTAAGAGCCAGAGGGGGGACTGGTTGGCTTTAAGAAGCTACTCTCCCCATCCCTAGCCAGATGGCTGGCATCTTCCCATTTTTTAGTTAAGCACACATCAAGGGACAGGGCAGAGGAGTGGCCACAGATCACTTGTGGAATCATCTGCTGGGACAGCCTGCCCTCTCTGGGCCGTACTGCTCCCCACTCTCAAACATGGCTCAGTTGCTCCTAATATATGTTCCTCTCCTCAGCCAGGCATCAGAGACAAGTGTGAGATAGAATTTAGAGTCAGAAACCTGAGGCTGGGTGCAGTGGCTCATGCCTATAATTCCAACACTTTGGGAGGCCGAGGCAGGAGGATTGCTTGGGGCCAAGAGTTCGAGACCCGCCTGGGCAACACAGTGAGACGCTGTGATGGTATGGTGTGGCTGTGTCCCCATCCAAATCCCATCTCGAATTGTAGCTCCCATAATTCCCTCGTGTTGTGGGAGGGATCCAGTGGGAGATACTGAATCATGGAAGCAGTTTCCCCCATACTGTTCTCATGGTAGTGAATAAGTCTCATGAGATCTGATGGTTTGATGAGGGGAAACCCCTTTGGCTTGGCTCTCATTCTTCTCTTGTCTGCCACCATGTGAGACGTGGCTTTCACCTTCCGTCATGACTGTGAGGCCTCCCCAGCCATGTGGAATTGTGAGTCCATTAAACCTCTTTCTTTTTGCCGGGCGCGGTGGCTCACGCCTGTAATCCCAGCACTTTGGGAGGCCGAGGCGGGTGGATCACAAGGTCAAGAGATCGAGACCATCCTGGTCAACATGGTGAAACCCCGTCTCTACTAAAAATACAAAAAATTAGGTGGGCATGGTGGTGCGTTCCTGTAATCCCAGCTACTTAGGAGGCTGAGGCAGGAGAATTGCCTGAACCCAGGAGACGGAGGTTGCGGTGAGCCGAGATCGCGCCATTGCACTGCAGCCTGGGTAACAAGAGCGAAACTCCGTCTCAAAAAAAAAAGAAAAAAAAAATCTCTTTCTTTTGAAAATTGCCCAGTCTTTGGTATGTCTTTATCAGCAGCGTGAAAATTGACTAATATACCCTGTCTCTACAAAAATTTTTAAAAATAAAAATTTAGCCAGGTGTGGTGGGGCATGCCTGTAGTCCCAGCTACTTAGGAGGCTGGGGGAGGAGGACTGCTTGAGCCCAGGAGGTCAAGGATGCCGTGAGCTATGATTGTGCCAGTGCACTCCAGCCTGGGCAACAGAACAAGATGCTGTCTCAATAAACAAAACAAAATAGAGTCAGAAACCTAGGACCCAAACCCAACTGTGCGGCCTTGGGTATTACCTAATCCCCCTGAGCCCCACTCTCCCAGTTTATAAAGTGAGTACTGAAAGTCATCATCTGTGCCTAGGATAACGGGGTGAGGAGGGAATGTCACACTGCAGATGCTCCACATGGGGCTGGGGGTAGATCATGGCTCCTTACCCAGCTGTCCTCCCGATGCCCTGTGCTGGTTCAACATCTGCATCAGAGGTTAGGGTGAGGGGACAGCAAACCTCTGTCTCCTTGCAGATGTCGGAGAATTACTTAAAAGTTATTTGGGGGATGGGATGTGTGATAGTCCATAGGATCATGGAGTTCAGCCTTCTTCTGGGGAAGGTCTCTGTGCCACACCCCCATTGAGAAGAAGGCCAAGGGGGGTGAAAGAGGGCTCAAGATGCATTCCTGAAGAATGAAAGTAGCCAGGTGTGGTGGCTCACACCTGTAATCCCAGCACGTTGAGAGGCCGAGGCAGGAGGATCACTGAGGTTGAGAGACCAGGCTGGCTAACATGGTGAAACTCCATCTCCACTAAAAATACAAAATTAGCCAGGCGTGGTGGCAGGTGCCTATAATTCCAGCTACTCAGGAGGCTGAGGCAGGAGAATCGCTTGAACCTGGCAGGTAGAGGTTGTGGTGAGCTGGGATCATACCACTGTACTCCAGCCTGGGTGACAGAGTGAGATTCCATCTTAAAAAAAAAATAATGAAAGGGCCTCCTGGGTAGGAGGCAGATGGGGGTGGGCAGGGTAAGTTGGGGCTGTGCTTGGAGGAGGGAGATAAAGTGTGGGTTCCTGCTGCTTACTCCGCATGTGCCCCTCCAAGGTATTGGAGGCTCACTGGGAGTGAGAATTCCAGGAGCTGGGTGCTGCTGAGGAAGGAGGCCTCTGACCGAGACCTTGGCTAGGAGGCTCAGAGAGGGGAGAGCCATCCCCAATCTTCCTCCCACAGACAGCCTCGGGGGACATGAGCAGGAGAGGGTCCTTGCCTCACTGCCTGTGACTGCCTGTCACTGCAGAAGCCTCCAGCCCCGCAGGCCCCTAATCAAAGTGACAGCTCCCACGGAAAAGTGCCCTCCTGGCTGCCACAGGCCTGAGACCTCGTGCCTCAGTCTGGCATGGCGCCCTGGACACTGAGTGCCTAGGACCAATGCAGTGCATTAAGGTGCTCACACTCAGCCTCTGCCTCCCAGGAATGGCTGCAGCTCTCTGCATTTTCCCCAGGGAGCCCTCGCCAGGGGAGCTCTACCTAAATGCTCTCAGCACACCGACCTAGTCCCCACCTGGGCAGAGCTGGAAGAGGCATCCAGGGCAGCTGAGGGTCTGGATGTGCTTCCCTTCACCCAGCACCCCCTCACTTCAGGGGCAGTTGCTGGCATCTTCTTTATTTTTCTTTTTTTTTTAAGACAAAGTCTCTGTTGCCCAGGCTGGAGTGCAGTGGCGTGATCTCGGCTTACTGCAACCTCCGCCTCCCAGGTTCAAGCAATTCTCCTGCCTCAGCCTCCCCCCTCCCCAGTAACTGGGATTACAGGTGCCTGCCACCACGCCCAGCTAATTTTTGTATTTTTAGTAGATACAGGGTTTCGCTGTGTTAGCCAGGATGCTGTCGATCTCCTGACCTTGTGATCTACCCGCCTCTGCCTCCCAAAGTGCTGGGATTACAGTGTGAGCCACAGCGCCCAGCCTGTTTGTTTTTTTAAGACAGAGTCTCATTCTGTCGCCCAGGCTGGAGTGCAGTGGCGCAATCTCAGCTCGCTGCAACCTCTGCCTCCTGGGTTCAAGCGATTCTTGTGCTTCAGCCTCCCTAGTAACTGGGATTAAAGGCGTTCGCTACCACATCCAGCTAATTTTTGTGTTTTTAGTAGAGACAGGGTTTCACCATGTTGGCCAGGTTGGTCTCAGTCTCCTGACCTCGTGATCCTCCTGCCTTGGCCTCCCAAAGTGCTGGGATTACAGGCCTGAGCCACCGCGCATGGCCCTGGAGCTGTGATCTTTTCTCCTCTCCCCACACCTGCCCCCTTCACCTGGTGGGATCGGAGAGGGAGGAGCTTTTACCACAGGGACCGCTACCCAGGAAGTCAGGCCTGAAGAGGGTGTGTTACAAGAGGAACAAGGACCAGACAGCGTCCTCAGCCACAGGACCGGCCTTCCCAGTCAGCACCGGCCCTCCAGTTCTGTCTCCCTCTCAGCAGCCCCCGTTCTCATAACTGAGCTGTCCTCTGTGGCACTGCCTAAGCTAGAGCTGTGCGTGACACCCCCCCAGACCCCGCACATCCCATTTGCCACCAAGTCTTGACGTTTCTGCTAAAGAAAAGGCTCCAGAATCTCTTTCTCCATTTCACCTCACTTTCCTTCTCAGGTACCCTCAAGCCAGAGACACGTAAAAACACCAACTGCTCCCGCTCAAACCTCTTCTGCGACGCCTCAGACACCCTCTTGAGGGCTGTCTTCTGTTTTGGTGATATTTATGGGGCACTCACCGTGTCCCCCGCTCCACACACACGCAAACACACACCATCCTGTAGGATGGAGACAAGGAAAATCCAATCTCTCTGCTCACCACCTGCCCCAAGATTGAGTCTGTCTTTTGGGTAGAGACAGACGTGAAAAGAGATAAGGGCTGTGGGTACCACATGTGACATACCCTTGGGGTACAAAGGCAAAAGCACAGTTCCTAGGGGCACCAGGAAAGTCTCCTCCAACAAAGCTGCCAACCTGGGCTGCAAGGTAGGTTTCTGTTGGCCTCCCCCAGGAGCTGGGGGTAAGTTCCTGCCTTTCCCACCTCCCCACACTGGGCCTGGATGTGAATCTGTTTGCTCTGCCCGCAGCAGCCTGGGCCGTTCTTATTTTCCCTATGGCCCCTATGCACCTGTCAGCTACAATCACTCTCATGGAGGCATTCACCCATTTCCCTCGGAAATCTGCCTTGCAGCCAGCTGCCCCATCCAAGCTCACAGCCAAACCTCTGCGAAGTCACCCCAGCTAGGGAGATGTAGAAATCCTGGCCGGGAGTCCAGCAGCCAAAGGAAGAGGGGCCTCCCCCTTGTCCCTGAGTTGCAGTGCTATGTACCTTGCTGACCTTGGCCTTCAGAGACCACAGACCTGAGCAGAAGCCTGGACACCCACCCTGCAGATGAGGCCCTTGTCTGAAAGCCTGTCGCTAGCAGGGGGCTCCAGGCTGGAGAAGTGCTGCTTAGGAGTCCTGATCCCAAAAGATCCCACAGGGAGAGTCCCCAGAAACAAAGACCCAAGAGGTGGCCTGCGGACCCACAGATTCCGAGAGGTCCCACAGAAGGTTTATCCAGATGCAGAAGAAAGTTTTCTGGCATTGTCAGGGGGCGGCGTCAGACCCTAAGACCCCATTGCACCCCAGATGCAAAGACCTCTGTGGAGGGAGACCACAGACCCAGAGCCCCTCAGAGGGGCCCAGACAGAGATCCTCCCCAGAGCAAGTTTGTGGGAGCAGCGTCTGTCTGCACTGACCTGGCCCTGAGGGGCTCTTCCCCAAGCTGAGCTGTCGAAGCCGCCTCTGGTGGGCCCGCCCCCCACAGTGCACCTGGGCCTGGGCCGCTGAGTTCAGCTGGATGTTGCAGACATCACAGAGCGTGTACGATGGCCGCTTTCTTTCCCGCTTGGGCTTAGGTGGTTCTGGGGGCCGAGGGGGGCACTCAGCAGCTTCAGATATGGGGGGCTCCTTCCCAGCCGGCGGGGGTGGGCTCAGTGGCCGCTTCATACCTGAGTGGATAGAGAGGGAGATGAATGAAGGCCAAATGGTTGTGAATACTTAGAGGGAGCAGGAGGGGCTGGAGATGGTGGAGCTCTGTATTCTCTATATCGCTCTGAAACACCCCAGCCCAAGGATGGTGGAAGGGCGCATAATGGGGTCTATTTCAAGCAAAGCAGCATTAAAATTTGGGACTCTCGGCCAGGCGCAGTGGCTCACGCCTATAATCCTAGCACTTTGGGAGGCCGAGGCAGGTGGATCACCTGAGGTCAGTTCAAGACCAGCCTGATCAACATGGTGAAACCCTGTCTCTACTAAAAATACAGAATTAGGGCCAGGCGTAATGGCTCACGCCTGTAATCCAAACACTTTGGAAGCCAAGGCAGGCGGATCACCTGAGGTCGGGCATTCAAGACCAGCCTGACCAACATGGTGAAACCCTGTCTTTAAAAAAATAAAAAATAAAATAAAAATAAAAATACAGAATTAGCAGGCTGTGGTGGCGCATGACTGTAATCCCAGCTACTCTCAAGACTGAGGCAGGAGAACTGCTTGAACATGGGAGGCAGAGGTTCCAGTGAGCCAAGATCGGGCGCCATTCCTCTCTAGCCGGGACAACAAGAGCGAAACTCCATTTCAGAAAGAAAACAAAACAAAACAAAACTTGGGACTCCTCCAGAGACATATCTACACACGAGGAGGCCAAAACACCTGGGGACTCGGAGGGGCACAGAACAAAGCTCAGAGAGGGGGACTTGGGTCTTGGAGAAAAGGTGGGCACTGAGGCAGAGGCAGCAGCAAGGCCAGCTGAGTCAGATTTGGGGAAGTGAGAGTCCTGTTCTCAGCTCCGAAGCAAGTGCTGACAATCCTGTGACAGCCAGGCATGTGGTGCTTACTGGAGACGCAGCAGCCGCCAGCCAAAAACACAACCTTCCTGTGCCCTGCACCCAGCAGGGTGACATTCACGCATGGTGACAGTGTGTGAAGCCATCCCAACCCCTGCTTCACGTGACTCCAGATGCCCCCTGCTGTCTTGGCCACCAAGGCTGAGGCAACAGTTGGTGATTTCAGGAGAGACCTGAGCCTTGCTCCCTGGGTCCGCTGAACACAGCCCCACCCCCGCCCCATGCCCATGCTCGCTCGCTCCCGTGCTCGCTCTCTCTCTCTCTCTCTCTCTCTCTCTCTACCTCTCCTGAACCCTCAAGTGGTCCCTGCCCCTATCTCCCATAGACAGTCTTTCCTTTCCTTTCACGTCTGAAACTTGCCCTGCCTGATGTGCTGCCTCTAACCATTTCTATTCTGGGGCTGCTCAGTGAATTTTGCCTTCTCTCCAAAATCTGTGCACATGCTTCCTGGCTCTGCTTCAGACGGGGGCTTCCTGAGAGCAAGGTCTGTGTCTCTCCCTCAGGCTGGGACAACCCCAAGGCTAGGGACTGGGCAAGTCAAGACTGAGCCCATCTCTCCTGTTAGGGACTGAAATGTGTCCCTCAAAATGCATATGTTTAGCCAGTATGGGCCTGAAAACAAAATAAAAAAATTTTTAAATGCATATGTTAGCCGAGCACGGTGGCTCACACCTATAACCCTCGCACTTTGGGAGACTGAAGCAGGCAGATAACTTGAGGTCAGGAGTTCGAGGCCAGCCTGGCCAACATGGTGAAACCCTGTCTCTACTAAAAATACAAAAATTAGCCAGATGTGGTGACACATGCCTGTAATCCCAGCTGCTCAGGAGGCTGAGGCAGGAGAATCGCTTGAACTCAGGAGGTGAAGGTTGCAGTAAGCTGAGATCACGCCATTGCATTCCAGCCTCAGCGACAGAGCGAGACTCTGTTTCAAAATAAATAAATAAATAAACTGTTAAAAATGCATATGTTGAAGTAATCACCCCCAGGACCTTAGAAAGTGACTCTATTTGGAGATGGGGTCTTCAAAGAGGTGATTAAGTTAATGAGGTCATACGGGTGAGCCTAATTCATATGATGGGTGTCTTTTTTTTTTGAGATGGAGTCTTGCTCTGTTGCCAGGCTGGAGTGCAATGGTGCAATCTCAGCTCACTGCAACTTCCGCCGCCCTGGTTCAAGCGATTATCCTGCCTCAGCCCCCAAGTAGCTGGGGCTACAGGTGTGTGCCACCATGCCCAGCTAATTTTTGTATTTTTTTTTTTTTTTTGAGACGGAGTTTCGCTCTTGTTACCCAGGCTGGAGTGCAATGGCGCGATCTCGGCTCACCACAACCTCCGCCTCCTGGGTTCAGGCAATTCTCCTGCCTCAGCCTCCTGAGTAGCTGGGACTACAGGCACGCGCCACCATGCCCAGCTGATTTTTTGTATTTTTAGTAGAGACGGGGTTTCACCGTGTTGACCAGGATGGTCTCGATCTCTTGACCTCGTGATCCGCCCGCCTCGGCCTCCCAAAGTATTGAGATTACAGGCGTGAGCCACCGCGCCCGGCCTAATTTTTGTATTTTTATTAGAGACGGGTTTCACCATGTTGACCAGGACGGCCTCAATTTCTTGACCTTGTGATCCATCTGCCCACCTCAGCCTCCCAAAGTGCTGGGCTTATAGGCGTGAGCCACCGTGCCTGGCCATCTTCTTGTTTAAGTACCACCCAGCCTGTGTACTTTGTTATTGGCAGCCCTAGCAAATTAGCACACCATGGATCTGACCCTGGTGTGGTCCTAAGTGCTGGGTGTTGTGGCTGGGCGGCAGTACCATAGATAGCCTACAGGTGGCGCATCGAACATCCAGTGGGAAGGTAGGTGAAGACTCGGTACCCACTGGGCAGGACAGACCCCAGTCCCCCACACCCGAGGGGCAACGAAGCTGTCTCCTGGAGCCATTCCACGGGTCCAGGGTACAGCTCTTCCCACAGAGGGCACACTGGAGGTCACTGCCATTCTAAGAAGGCCCCCATGGCTGCATGGAGCCCCCCACCAATATTTTGCACCTTCTCACCTCTAGATGGAGGTCATCACAGAGACTCCCCTGCCTTTCCATGTCCTCCCCAACCCTCCAAGCAGAAGGTAGGAAGGAGGTCTTAGGTGCAAGTGTTGCAGTGGTGTGGGGGGAGAGGTGGGGAGGGTCCCATTCCCGGGGTGGAGGCTTCAGAGGAATGAGATATTCCTGGCCACGCCAAGAAGAGCTCCCTGCCCCGCCAGCATGGGGACAGGGGTATTTTGAAATCTCAGTGCAATTTATGACAGGCGGGCCAGGGACATGGCCCAAGAGAGCAAATATCTGCCACGCAGCTGATTAAACCTCTGTGATATATAGCCTCTGGGCTCACGGGGCCGCCTGGATTCCAGGCTAATTGTGTCCCCCCAGCCAGGCTGCTGGGCCTGCCGAAGCCTGCCCTGCCTGACCCAGCCTTTCCAGCTGTCCCCTTAGGAGCCACACTGCCCCAGCTAAGCTAGGGGAGCCCAGTCAGAAAATGTGGAGGGGTAGGCAGTGACGGGGGCACACGGGTCTGTCTAACCCTGCCCTGAGTATCGGCAACTCGGTATCCCCAACCCTGGTCCCTACGCAGAGCCAATATGATCCACCCTAGCCGGACCTACAGTTGGACAGGACCTAGTCCATGTGCTGCCTTGAGCAGATGGGGAAATTGAGTCCCAGAGCAGGGCAGTAGACTTGCTTCAAAGCAAATGGAAAGACGATGCAAGAGCTGATTCTAGAAGATTCCCTTTCTTTCTCTCTTTTTTATTTTTAGATGGAGTATTGCTCTGTCACCCAGGCTGGAGTGTAATGGTGCAATCTCAGCTCACTGCAACCTCCACCTCCCGGGTTCAAGCAATTCTCCTGCCTCAGCCTCCCGAGTAGCGGAGATTACAGGTGCCTGCCACCATGCCTGGCTAATTTTTGTATTTTTAGTAGAGACAGGGTTTCACCATGGTGGTCAGGCTGGTCTCGAACTCCTGACCTCAGGTGATCTGCCTGCCTCAGCCTCCCAAAGTGAGATTACAGGCATGAGCCACCTTGCCTGGCCAGATTCCCTGTCTTTCTTTTTGCCTCCCAGCTGCTTACGCCACCTCTTCTTTGTGAAATAACAACCCCATTCATTGAGGGTTTACTGTGGACCAGGTGCTTGGCACATAGGGTCTTTTTTCTTTTTAAGGGGTAGGAATGGGGTTTCACCTTGTTGCCCAGGCTCCAGGCTGGCCTCAAACTCCTAGGGCTCAAGTGAACCTCCTGCCCCAGCCTCCCAAGTAGCTGGGATTACAGGCATGTGCCACCATGCCCAGACAGGATCTCTCTTAAACGTCATAACTCCATGAGATGAGCACCATTATTAACCTGTTATCCCACTGCATAGATGATTAGAGAACAGTCTCTGGGAGGTTCTGTAGCTGGACCTGAACTCAAAGCCCAAGTCCTTATCCACTGCCCTCTCCCATCTCTGCTTAAAGCCTGCCAAGCCCTGACCTGAACTGATGGGTGGGGAGGGGGCCACAGATTCGGAGAAGAGCTCCTGGGAGGGGCAGGGCGTGCAGGGTCTATCAGGCCCAGTGCCAGGCAGAGAGGGGCACACCCTGGGCAGAAAGAGGTGGGGCCAGAGCCAAAGAGGTAGGGAGGAAGGACAAGCAGAAAGCAGGGGAAAAGAACATGCATGTACCCATCTGTCTGTCTGTTTGTCTGAGATTTCTACAGGAAGCAGGCTAAATCTCTCTTATCCCCATGTTCCCTGAGAGATGGGGCTGAGGCTGCTGCAGAGAGGGAGGGGGTTGGGCCCTGGGAGGGAGCCACCCACTTGAAGGCAGGCTCACACCACCTGCGCGGGAGAGCTGTGTAGCCCAGGTTCTGTCTGCCTGTCTGCCTGTGTGTTCGTCAATGTGGAGCTGGCGGGTGGAGTGGGGGGAGCACTTGGGCAGGGCTCTGAGGTCCCATCTCTTCCGGCTGGGTGACAAGTGCACGTCAGGGCCCTGGGTTTCCATGAGGTCCTTGGCCACCGTGAGGTGATGGGATTCCCTGCCTGTCTATCCAGAGAGGGCTAGATGGAGAGGACTATGG